AACCCCCCGCCCTTCACGCGATGGCGCTGTGCAGAGCGACTGGGCGGGAGCGGCTGCGGGGCTGTTCGCTCTGGGTTATAGGGCGGAGGTGGCCCATGGGCGAGCGGGGAGTGAAGGCCTTTGGAAAAAGCAAGGTGGGAGAGCAGCCACGGCGGAGCAGGCAGCGCTGGCCATCACTGTTTCTGGGAAACCGAATTCGCTCCGCTTGATCGTATCAGGAGCGTGTGGGAATTCTGGCTGGGGACCTGCCCGCAGACGTATGGGTCCTGCTGAGAGGCGGCTCCCTCTAAAGTTTCCTGATGCTTTTCCTGGACACTACGTGCAAAACATGTCGAATTGTCATTCACTGGATTTCTAAACCAAATAATTTTGAGAACGGAACTCTTTTAAATTCCTTTTATGTAACATAGTACAGCACAAAGAGAGTGTTTTCTTTCAAAACAGCGACTAGCTCAGTTGCAGTAAATTTTCTCTCCCTTTATGTTTTCTGTAGCTCCACAATTTCAAGTGTCGTTCATTCCTTTTTTGTTTTGTTGTTGTTTTTTGCTTGCTTGTTTGGGTGGTTTTGTTATTTTTTCCCCCCTCTACAAACAAGTTAATCATACGCAGCTTTTTTGATAAAGCTGAAAGGCTTTTAGGAGAAGTATTTGGAGTATAACTGTTTAATGAAAGATACTTGAAAATCTGTCAGAGACTTTGTAATAATTTAAAATTATTACGAGCTTTCTTTTGTGGTTTTTTTGAAAAATACTTTCAACTTTATATCTAGCATCGTTATATGCATTACATGTATGCATTGAGGGCTGATAACACAGCTGCGTTAGATGTAGAGGGAAGATACTCTATCGGAGTATTGGTATTGTCCCAGTGGAATTGTTTTGTAATGAGTACAAAGGGTACAGATTGCTGTGGTGAGCCCAAAGGTCTATGCAGCTCAGGAGATTGTCACTCATAGTGGCCAGCAGTAAATGCCACAAAAAGAATGAACAGTGCAGTCACACATTGACAGTTCTCTCTGTGTGCGCTTAGTTGTCAGTTTATTGTGGTTCAGGGTCACGACGCATGCCTTTGTTTAATGAAAACATTTTTCTTTGAACTTTTATGTCGTTTTTGGTTGTTTTTTTTTTTTTTAACAATGCATGTGCTTCTTTTTCTTTGTTAGGATCCACAGTGCCCTCCAACAGTGAATTCAATGACTAAATGCTTTGTGAATAAGGACCATTGTTTTGAATCCACTGGATGATAGTTCATTCATTCATTATTTGGGTGAATGCAGTAATAGTCATCCCCTCTGCACTTTCCTATGCCATTCAGGATTTGATGGTCTCAATTATGGCCACCCCTCTTCAGGATGAAGAATTCCTCCCCAAGTGTAGCTGGATATATTGGCTAAATTACACATCTGAAAATTTAGTTTTGGGTGGCAGTTGTCACTGGTGGGAATTTTTTTGTAGAATTTTGGGTTTGCCTTTTTCATGGCCCTTAATCATACTGATGTACTATTTATACTACATACTGGTAGAACAGCTGTGAATTAAATCACATGCATGTATGTTGATGGCTTGAAAAGCTGAATATGAATACTGTAGTAAAAGGTAAAATAAAGCCATTAAATGAAGAACGGTCATATCTGTAAGCGACAGCACTATAGCCCAACAGGTCATTTCGAAATTCGAAAATGAGGTTAATGTGCCTCAGTTAAGTAATTGAGTGTGAACTTCCAGTGCTGTGATCCTGCTTGAGGATGGTGTTTTATTCTAGAATATATCCCTGAGCCAGGGTCAGGTGTGCCGCAGCCCTAGTGAAGCATGCTCAGTTACATTATAAATGACTTATGTGAAGGATCTTGACATGCTGGAGCATTTTCATTATTCTGCCCAAGGTTTGGGACAGCACAGTTGCGCAACACTAGAACAACGTGTAGACAAGGTGCAAGAACTAGCTTGTACAATTAAAAATCCATCTTATTATGCACGAGCCAGTCTTCAATGTTGAGCTGTCAGACTTGGATCTAGAGGACTGGCCATTCTTGAGCCTAAGAAAGAAAAAGACAAACTTCCACTAAGAGATTTGAGGAAGTTGGGTATCTAAGTTTAATGCCAAGAATCTTGAGAGGTGCTTAATAGCATACCTGCATAGGGAGAGGAAATCTAGTGTCAAAGTGATTCAGAGTATAGCGAACATAAAATTATATTAAGGGGTTGAAACTGGAAAATAAGAGAAGCAGCTAAACCCGAAATGTCTGTAGTGTACAATGTTACCTGGTGTGTTGGATCTTTTTGTTTTGAGACTTGAAATTCCAGACTGGATGCACTTTGTGTATGCTTCAGTAGCTCTTAGTGCTGGAATCATAGCTATTTTCCTGTGACCCGTGTTATGCAGGAGGGCTGCATTTCTTAAAGCACTATGGTGTCTACAGGCTGAGATTGGTAACTGATGCTGGTAAAGGCTAGGAGCCGTGAACAAGTTTGCCTGATTGTTTATTGTCCTTTGGTGAAGTTCTAGCACTTCTCAAGATGGCCACCAGAGGTGTGTTTCTGTGTCATAAATATACCGTGCTCTTTGTTTTGAAAGAAATTGGTGGAATACCTCTGGGATTTCCTCTGGCTGATGGTGTTCAATCACATTTTGTTGTTTGCAGCTGTAATTACTTTGCACATATTCATTATCATCTCACTGGGCAAACCTTTATTCCAGTTTTTATTGGAAATGTCTACCAAAGCACTGTTTTGTGAATTTGAGCCAATGCAGTGATGACCTCTTAAACAAAAGCTTTTGGAATATAAAGTGCAAGGGTGTTTTCCAACTCCAGTTCCAAGGTGGAATTTGCTTCTTCTTTCAGGTGTCCTGAAAAATGGCTGATGATATTGATATTGAAGCAATGCTTGAAGCTCCTTACAAGAAGGTGAGAAAAAATATGCCAGTGAGGTCCTGTTTACCTTAATTTAGCATTATTCATGAAACTACTGCTGAACTGTAAACTAACATCCCTGGAGCCCTCATGATTTATCTTATTGGACATACATTACATGTAACTTTCAAGTTAATATATACTGTTAATGTAATTATATTGTGCAGTAGTTTCACTTCAGCGTGATGAATAAATGCCCATCTATCTCTCTTTGTAGACTTGCCTAACGATATCTCACCTCTACTCCCATGAATTCACCTTTGATTCCAGTGTGAACTGTCAATCATAAGGTAGTAATTGAGTGACGTATCGCTGTACCGTGGTCCCCTAGGTTAAAAAAAAACCACCAAACACAATCAAAACAAAACAAAAGAAATCCACCCAAAAACCATCAAAACAAAACCATAACAACCCCCAGAAACCAAAATCCTAAAACCTTTCCTCTAAAATTGTGAAGTCTAGTTTGGTATAGCAACAAGGTGAATGCAGTGGTTTGGGAAGACAGCAGGGTTCCAAGAATAACCTTTTCATCAGTCCCACGGCAAGTAAATATATGAACAATCTACTCAGTGCAAGAAGAGTGGGACTTGCTTTTAATGCAGAAGGCTGCATGCGGTTAATCTTTCAACAGGGCAGATGAAAATCAATTGCTGAGTGAACGAATTTACAGAAATTCTTGGATCCCTGAATAGAATGTTCTTAGCAAGTAAAAGACAGTATCACAGTCTGCGGTGTCATTCTAAAATAAGCTCTTGTATACTTCTGTCCTAGTTATTTAATTAGGAAATATCAATTTTTCTGTGAAATTTTTATCAATTAGCTTAGTGATGTCTTTCACTTAAACCAGCAGCAAATGAATACTGTCTTTTTTTGTTTTCCACCAGGTGGTGGTGAAGTGTTAACAGACTGCATGCTTTAGCACTGATTTTGAAAGAAATGTAAATAAGTTTAAGTTGCGTAGGAATTGTACTTTTGATGTAACCAATGTGATTAAACTGTAAAGCCAGTATATAAGTTATATAGCAGCTATTGTTAGTCTGTTCTGCAGTGTTTATTACAACCATGTCATGAATTTTGGATGAGCATTTGTAAGTTTTAAGTGGTATATTTAGTTTATGTAATATTTAGCAGTTATGTTTACATCTTGAAGAGAAATTTGTGAACTGTTGTGTTAAAATTCTTGTGTCCTGGCTTAACATGGATATTTTCCATGTAAACAGGTATGGAAATAGGGAATGTTTAGGCTGGACTGGTGGATTATTGATGGCTTTCTTGGGAGTCGACGTTACTAAAGCAGTGTGAATCCCTGTTTGCTTCAGGGCGAGATGTGTGACAGAGGTGACATCAAGCTCTTACAACCCTCCAACGAAAATGAGTGAAGATCTCGGGAATGGCATCGGTCACAGGAAATCCATAGTGGCTGGCTGCTAGTGTAGCCATGGGGCTTAGGCAGAGATATAGCCTTGGTACTAATCAGAGGGGCTTGCAAAAACCTCAGACTTACTATTAAATTTTATAGAAATAACATTTAGCCACTTGAGTGCTGAATTCTACAGGATAACTTGCTCTCTAAACCATGTAAGGAAGTATCTACAATTTAATACACACTTTTAAATTATGTAAGTCTTGTATTTTGTAATTGTATGACTTAAATTTAAGCAGCAAAGTGGTTATAAATGCCTATCTAAATTTTCTAAAGCTTTCCACATTAAACTGTAAGCAAGTAATTTAGTATTAAAATTTTTGTTTTTTATTTTCTTATTCCTATTCCCATTACCCTTTGACTACTTGAAATATTTCCACTTCGTCCTCACGATGTTCTTCTATCAACCCTGCTTAGGATGAGAACAAATTGAGCAGTGCCAATGGCCATGAAGAACGCAGCAAGAAGTAAGTATTTTCTCAGTTCTCTACATTTGGGTAGAGACTGCTGATTTTTGTGAACTTGTGAATCCATGACAGTAGTGTTTAAAGAAATAATTTGAAAAAAATTGGTATTTGCAGTTGCAGCAATTTTGAAATTCTTTTTTGCTTACATGTGTAGTTAATACGCTGTGCAACTGATGTAATCAAAATTGCAGAATCGTTCACATAGCATCAGATGAAAATACAGATGTGGTATGTTCAGCATATTTTAATTATTTTTGCTATTTTAACTATGCAATGGATTTTGCATTCTAAAAATTATTGTAGAATTGTGATTTGGAGCAGTTGAAAGCAGCTAAAGACACAAGTGCTTTCTTGGAAAGGTTTAGGGTGTTGAATCATCTTGTTCTGTTCTCTGCATCCCTGCCCTTTGAAAACTTCCAAATTTTTAAGTTTTTTAAAAAAGAAGAGTACAAGCCCACTTTGTTCAGCAAACTTAATTCCAGGGTGTTAAAACTTTCTGATATCCAAAAAGTTTTTAAGTGTGTAAAATAAGTTTCTTACCTTGGAAGCATCATTTGGTGAAGAGGTGATTGATGTAAAATTACAATTTTACAGTTATTAATTGAACAATTACAAAGTTGATAGTTTACTAAACAGTGACAAGTTAGTTGTGTATTACACACTGAAAATTCACTGAAGTCAGCATGTATGCTGTTGTCACCTTCTGAGATCATACAGATGACATGCTGAAGGACTCCAAAGAAAATTTTTTCTCAGGTCTATTAATATTTGGGAGATTATAAATCCCATTCCAAGGTCTGACTTAGGGTTGGAATCAAATTATCTAAAATTGATTATAGCTCTTACTTAAATTCTAAATAATACTGTGAAAGTAATTTTCATGCTAAGTACTGTGACCTCTAAAACCCTGTCAAAAGCAGCTGCTATCAATATTTCTAAGCTCTAGAAGTTAATTTTGATACAGTTCTTTTCCTCCATAATTTTTAAAGAACTACTTTGTGATATGTAACAGTATACTCTGTTGGTAAAGAAAAAGGTGTATGAAGGGTTTGCATTGCTTCTTGCTTAGCTTTAAAACTATCAAATTGTGTCCAAATGGTATTTTTTTAATCTACTTCAGTTGGGCAGATACTGAAATATGATTCAAACTGTCAGGAAAATCCATAGTAAACATCAGCAACTTAGAAAAAAAATAACAATGTGCAGCTTTCAGTAATTGTCAAATCATACTTAAATGTCCATTTTATTAATTGGAAGAACTAAGGATCTGCGTTTTTACTAGACGTCTGTACTGTAGGTCCAGTTCAATAGGGATTTGAAGGTGGAGCATGGATCTGGACTGCTGGGACCTTGCTGCAAAGGAGGTTCCATCTGTTGGATAGGGAATAGCTGCTGTCATTGGTGAAGAGTTACTGGTAGTGGCCAATATAGTGAGCTCCAGGGAGTGTTTCTCAGAGCTATTCTAATAGTGAATGTTTTAGAGTTTTATCTTGGGGAGATGTTGTTAAATTATGGATCCTAGAGGAGAGGGACGGTGTGTGCCTAACCATCACAAGCTGCACTACTGCAGGAAGTGTGGTTAAATAATGCTTATGACACCACCCAGAAATAGAGAACTATCAGAAATTGTGAAGCTTCTGGATATTAGGTTTTGATGCAGCAGCTTCTCTGTCTGTACAAAAATATTAAAGAAACCAGTGGACTATGGCAGATTAAAAAAAAAAAAAAACCAAATAATCCAGTGTTTAAAATGAAAATGCAAAATGTTTGTCTTCAGAGATAAATACTAAGATAGTAGTACAAGATAGATTGAATGGGTCTTCCTAGGTGGAGATTGGAAAGCAAAAGCTATTACTAATTAGGCTCAGTTAGATGTGGCAGGTGAGACTTTTTTACTTCAGAAATTGAAACTAACTAGAAGCCTTAGTTCATACATGGTGATAGAAAGCCACAGGGATGAACTTTTTGTAATCTACGTGCCCTTTTAAATTTAAGAGTATGAGGGATCATGTTGAGAAAATGATACATGCAATCAGAAGACCCAAAAGGAAGAAGAGGAAAATGTCAATGACGAGGGTATTTCGAGTTTAAAAAGTTTAGCAGCAAACTTGATTATTTTGCTGTCTTAAGTAATGGCATGAACATCTGTTTAGCATGTCTTATGTATATATACAGATATATTTTAGAAACTAGGAGGCTGTAAGCCTATCTGAGGCTGAGATGGAGGAAAAAATTTGTGATCCAAATGCAGTAATGGAACATTTGCTCACTATTTTTCACATATGTGGTATAATTGGCATTCAGGTTTTAGAAGATTAAATTTTCTAAGTAAATTGATAAAGTTACAAAAATCTGCAGTTTGCTCCAACCCTGTAACAGCAACAGACATAAAAAAGCAAGTGGCTTATGAGCGGCAGTAGCAAGTAAGAAGCAAAAGTCTTAAGCAGTATGTAAAGACTATTGGTAGGGAGTATTAAGAGGAAATAACCTTCCTTTCCCCTAGACTTACCCTTCCTTTTTGTTTTTGTTGCCTTTTGGTTTACTTTTTTATAAAATTACTTTATAATTTTTTCTTATAGTCATGAAGCTGTGTTTAAAGTATGTTTGAATGCCACATAAGTACTGCAACTGCAATGTACTAGGTCTGACACAGGAAGTGGGTTTTTAGTCCTTTTACTCTTCTGAAAGCATTCTCAAGCAATTAAAAAACGTAAAATAAAAATGGGCTGTTGCAGACTTCATGTGGCTCATGATAGAAGATTGCTGACGCACTTAGCCACCCATTTAACAAAAGTATAAATACCAACAGGTAGAAACTTCCCCTGTCAGTGTATGTGGCATCAGAGGAACTGAAATGTGGGGTTAATAACACTGAACTGCATGTGTGTAACTGAAGTTGCTCTTTTGTTTGTCAGGAGAAAAAAGAGCAAGAGCCGAAGTCGAAGTCATGACAGAAAGAGGAGTAGAAGTAAGGAACGCAAACGGAGCCGAGATCGGGAACGGAAAAAGAGCAGAAGCCGGGAAAGGAAACGGAGCAGAAGCAAAGAACGCAGACGCAGCCGGTCTAGGAGTAGAGATCGCAGATTCAGAGGCCGCTATAGAAGTCCCTAGTAGGTTATTTGTTCAGAGTTGGATTTGTGCTGCTTCAGTGTTACAGTGTGGGACGGTTAAAGTTTAACGCTCTGCTTTCTAAATTGGTCAATAATTATCATATAAAAGAAGGTGAGAGGTTAAGTTTGAAGAATGTCAGTAAATACAGAGAGAAAAAGAGGACAGTTACATTCCTCTTCTAGTTTTCATTCTTAGCCAGACAGAGATGGCGAAACAAATGAAAGAATGTGTACAGATGACTGGAAAACAAAGTTTATCAGAAAATCGATATAACAACCAAATTCTCTCCATGTCCCAACCATCTTAAGTACATGAACTTGATGGTTTAAGTGTCAAAAAATTAATAGTAGTCTGTTAATAGGGTTATAGGCTCATACCCCCTCCTTTTGTTTATTTTTGTATTACTAAAGATTTTTACTGTCTTGCTGTTCTTGAACATTATCTCTGTAAGTGGATAGTCACACAAACATACTCCATATTTTTGCATCCAGAGTGGGTCATGTCTTAGCAATGCCCATGTATTGCGTATTTGCCCTGCTTTTTTCTTAGACTTGTTTAGAGGCTGACAAGAATTCTTGTGTTTCTCTCAGATATTTAGCTTGATAGAACTTCAGCAATACATAGTTCCAGGCATTTTTAAATCAATTCTCAAAAGATGTTTTTTCATCAGTTATTTCTGAAGGTTTGTACTGTGGCTTTCCCTTTTGCTTCCCATTGTCTCCTTCTGCAGAAACACAGTGAAAACTGGGCTGTATGCTTGACTGTCATTGATTACCTGAGGCTGCTCTTTGTCTCTGCTGTTGTCTGGGTCTCATCTCAACCATTGTTAAGTCTTGGAATGCAGGATCATGTAAAAAGAAGGCATTTGAAAAGGATGTATTTTTTTTTTTAATCATGACACGTAATGCCATCCATGATAGAGAAATCTTGAGATGTTTGAGCAGACAGTGTTTACCTTCTGATAAATTGTAGGCTTGTGCAATTTTGTGCACATGAATGTTTTTCTTGGGGCGTTTTGTACTCTTGGACTACAAACAAAAATTCCTAAGGTCTCACTTTGTGCTAAGTCACCTGGATGTTTGCATATTCGTAATGAAAATCTACTGCAGATTCTGGGTCCTCTAAGGTGCAGTGGTATCCTGTGTATCATCAGTCCTGTGTATGTGGGGATCATAATATATCAGCCCTGCTTTTCTTTTGTCTTGACTATCAGAGCCTCTATACACTGCTCTGGACTTCAGCTCTAAAAATTTCAGGAGTGCAGAGTTGTTTTCGTACAACTCTTTGGCACCTGTAAGATGACAGAAACTGGGTTATGCCAGTGCCGCTCTTGTTGTTCAAGGTACAGAGGACCTTGATCAAAAACTTCAGCCTTCTGTATATGGAGCATGATGGTCTCCTTCCCTCCAGTACAGTGTTGTGTGGAGAGGATGTCTTTTGTCTCATTTTGCATTTGCAAGTTGCTGTGTTCTTCCAGCTGTGTTGGAGGGTTCTATTCTTTGGTTTGTTTTTTTTTTGTTGTCACTGAGTGAGAAGGCTTTTCACCTGGAGAAATTAGGGAGTTCCAGTGTTCTGGTCTTCCAAAATGATTTCTGCAAGTAGAGGTTGAAAGTATTGGTATTACTGCAATAACCCATGTCTGTTTTAATGCATTGAGAGTTATGCCAGAAAGGTAAGTTAGTTGCAAGGGGTCTTTTTTGCTCTTGTGGCACTGACTGCAAGAGTACTCTTTCTGGCTGGAGAATTTATTTCTGAAATTTCTCCTTGTGGGTCTGTTGGCAGTGATTCTGGCTTGGTGTTACTGCTGGGTTGTACCTGACTGCAATATCTAGATCAAATTGCTTTATGGCTTCTGTTTTGTCTTATCTTTTACTTCTCCTCCTCCTTGTGATCATTCTCATGAGCTTTATAAAGGCTCATTTTCAAGCTGATACCTGTAAACTAAGATGGCTTGCTGCTGGGAGCAATTAGGAGGCATCTCAGCAATCACCCCTCCTTTGTGCATGTATTTCTCAGCAATAGTGAGAAAAAAGTTTAGTATAGGTAATTCTGAAGGAAAAGGAGAAGAGTGCTATAGAGAACCTGAAAACTTTGAGTTTCTCACTTTAGGCTTGAAATTGTGGTTAAATGCTTTAATTTTTTAAAATTAGGTGACTGGTTTGCATTGCTTAGTTTTCAGGGTTTTTTCGTCATGTTATTTTAATATAAGTTGTCCCTTAAATGTTATGTAGCTGTATCTCTAAGTCACTTAGGATAAAGTATTTGACTGAATAGTCTTGCTTAGACGCCTGTTGGGCAAATCCCAGCTGCTGCTAACGTACAGTAGGGGTCACTTAGACCATCCTTGTTTCTGTTCTGAAACCAAGAATTTAGACTAAGCTGTTAGGAAAACAGGTTTATTGCAGTGATGACTGAAAGTTCCTTGTGATTCTCCTGGACTTCATTAGCCAAAGTTTGTCTTGTCCGACACTGTTTGTTGGAGTCTTGAATATGAATGAGCAAGTAAAAGCTGATAATTTGCTGCCTGTCTTCTGACCTGACCATCGTTGGGCCACATGGCATCACAGGTTTTGTGGAAGTGAGTATTTGGCTTACAAAGAAGGTGACTCCTAGGTAGAAATTAATGGCTTATGACATGGTGCTTCTGTGCAGGTTAACAGGAACTGGGCAACAATTGTAGAGACAGTAGAAGCAAAGGAGAAACTTGAGATCTACAGCTTTACAAGCAAGTCTCCTTAGAAAAACACAGGGAGAACACTGTAGAAAAGGGATTTTGAGAAGGTAACTTGGGCTCTCACCTTGCCCTAGGCAGTGTTCTGCTTGGTCTGTTCCAGTCATCTGGGGTTTCTTAACGGAGAACTCTAATGGAGTTCTGTAAATAAGATAGTACTAGTCAAGAGTGAGAATGGAGATTTTTGGAGTTGTGGTGGGTTGTGGGTTTTCCCTGCCCTTTTTTCCTCTTCCCTTTCCCCCCCTCCTTTGTGCATGTGTTTGAAAACTTACTTCTCAGATGTTCTTGCTTTGGTTTTGTTATTCATTAGGTTTAGACAAATACTTAAAATATTTCTTTCACCATTTCCCTGAAAACTCATTGTCTTAATTATTTATAATTGTTTAGTTGGTCTGCATGTTGATATTCTGGAGTCAGTGTAATTGGTTTGTCTGGTTGCATTTAAATTGAAATGGGAGCACCATGTTTTACATCAGATGTGAAGGTGCAAGTTTATCCCATGTCTGGTAAGAAGGTAGCCTCTGGAATTAGTACCAGTATTTCCAGCTGCAGCTTTCGGCAGTTGTGCCATAGTTACTGAGGACCCTGAATGGACATTCCCAGCAATAATTTGTCTGGACTTGAGCAGGAAATGGACTAATTTATCCTAGGTCAAAAAAAATCTGGTTTTGATTAATAGTGATCTCATCTCAGCATGTGCCTGTGTTTTGTGTCTTTTCTCTTAATAAGTAGTTTCTAAATGGTCTTCTTTATTTTTTTTTTCCAGTGTTGTACAGGGCCATATTTCCCTTGCTTTAACCTGGCCAGCACGGTTTTGGATCTTGGCCCACTACTTCCATCTGTGTCATGAAATGTTTAAAAAATGGGCATCCTCCTCTTTGTGGTGGATGCTGAGTTTAACTATAAGCATTACTGCTCCAATGAGGAGCAAGAAGACGTTTTTCAGACAAATTGTGTGGCCAAATGGATTTAGTGAAAGACTACTTAATGTCTTCAGCCTGCGGTGTCTTTCAGGGTGTTTCACATCAATTTGTAGCCACAGCAGAAAGAAACAATTGTGTACAGATGCAAAGCCAAAGCCCAGTGCACGGCATTCAGTCTGTGCAGCAGTGCCTCTGCGCTTGGTGGAGATACAGGAAGAATGTTAACAGGTGTTGTTCTTTGCCTTTTGAACAACTCTACCAAGAGATCAAAATTCAGGGAGAGCACAATAGGATGAATCTTACCGCTCCTATATAGTCTGTTTCTGGGTGCCCCATTAACTAACAGGACTGTCCTTAACATGAAAGCAAAGGGCAGATTACAATTTGTTCTAACGGACTCTGTGATGCCTGGAGAATTAAATTAGATTCAGTCAAGAGACAGGATTCCGTTTGTGGTTACGTGTCTGTATACAGCTAACTACTGGGTTCACTGCTTCTGTGATTTGATGGCCATTAGGAATTTTAAGGAAGCTTCATTTACATATTTGCAGCACTTGAGTGATGAGAGCCAAGACAACATTAGTGAACCTGTCTGCTCTGCACGGAGCCACTTCGGTTTGCTCTTGCAGCTTAAATTTCATGGAACTTCTGATTTTAAAATGGTACACTCGAGCAAGTAATCTTGCCAACATCACTTGGCATACGGACAGCTATGAGGCTGAGTTCCAGGCCATAAATATTGCTTTGCAGTCATCAGTATGTAGAACTTGCACGTAGACAAAAAAACAGGTGGAAATAGTTATAACAGTAACTGTAGCTCAGAATAGTTTGCACATACAAATGTGCCATGACTGACTTACTCATTAGGAGTCCTGCCTATTCTGGGACTTTAAGTGATGTAGATGAAAGTGAGGAGATCATTTTCTGTGTTTTATGGTCTGAAGTGCCACATGTATTGATAACCAATAGATACTCTTATGCATGCTGTGGGTGCTGCTAATGAAAATGCTGAAAAGTTCAGAGGCAAGGGTGGGTGAGCACTTGCAGCGTAGTATGAGTACAGACAGGAAATCTTGAATTCAAGTACTCAGGTGTCTTGTCTTTTCTTCTATAGTTCTGGTCCAAAATTCAACAGTGCCATCAGAGGGAAGATTGGTCTGCCTCACAGCATCAAATTAAGGTTTTTGACTTTCCTGTTTTTTACTGCATGATTAATAGGTATTGTTTAGAATCAGAGGTGGTATATTGGAAGGTTTTCTTGTAATCTTGTTGATCTTTCTTTTTAGCAGACGTCGCTCCAGAAGCAAAAGTCCTTTCAGAAAAGACAAAAGCCCTGTTAGGTATGACTCTTTACATGTGTTTGGGTTTGTTTTTGTCCAGTTGGAGTTGGAAAAATGATAGTGAAATTGCTCTCCAGCTTATAAGTGACACTGGAATTCATTCAGAAAGCCAGTGAGAGAAGAGCATTGATAATATGTTGCTTTCTCCCCATGTCATAAAAGGTTGTAAATAATTTCAGTTGGCAAAACAAGATTTGTTTGTTTTTTATGTTTCTGTATTCTCAATCTTTTCCCCATTGTGATTTAAATAAGCTTTTGTGCTAAATTGTACTTAATAATCCAGGATATAGAATGGGAAAATACAAATGCTTCTTTTTGCCATTCAGTATTTATTTGTGTTATTTGTTGAGAGGCTATATGCCTCTGCAATCCACGAGCTGCTTATCCATTCTTAGACTTCTCATTTAAGGGAATAGGATTTAGATAGGTGCTAATGAGATTATTCTTTTACATTAATGCCATTAAATTTAACCAGATTAATTTTGTTTTTCATGGACTGGAAAAATCTTACGGAAAATTTGATTTGAATTTCTATTGTGTTTTCTTAGTGATTAATATCTATGTGATTATTTTAATAAAAATACATATTACATGGCTGGAAACTCAATCCAGGATCCACCATGCTACTTCCTGTGTAACTCGTACTTGAGTACAAGTCAGATTTGCTTAGATTTGAAACTTTAATACATTAAAGTATTAAAAAATATGGTGCATCTAATTTCATCTAATAGTTCAGTATTGAAATAAAATTATTCTTGTTCTTAATGTGTCAAAAATGAGAGTAATTCACTATTCATACTTCTTTATGGGTTAACTAGTAGAAACTAAGAAATGAGGACTGTGAGTTCTCATTACATGGATGTCAGTCTTGTTTTATGTGGTGACTGTAGTGACTCCAAAGTATCTGGGTAAATGCAAGATGTGAGTTGGCAAAGCCTAGCTCACATTACTTGTCCAGGAATTTGGACATCCGGTCTCTGCTAGTTCACCCTGTTTGCCTTTGTGTTCTTGTCCTTCCATCCTTTTAAGGGAAAGAACATGCAAGCTCCATAGTGGTACCTGGTACCAGTTCTGGACAGTACCAAAATGGTACCTCTCTTTAGTTTATGCTTCTGCACATAAAATAGAATTTTCCAGTCATATTTGATGCTCACAGTTGAAATAAGATGTTCAGTCATGTTATAAGTTACCTTATATACCTATAATACCTGTTAGTATTTGGTATTTCCTTTGGTTCTTAACTCTGCCTGTTTTTTAATACAGCAGGCATATTTTTTCTCATCAGACTGTGAAGTACTGATTGTTTACTGATTCATGTGTGGTCCAGAGATGAGTTATTTTATTTCAGCTGATTTTTTAACTGAACTTTACTCTTTCCAGAGAACCTATTGATAATCTTACCCCTGAAGAGAGGGATGCTCGAACAGTGTTCTGTATGCAGTTGGCTGCAAGAATTCGACCAAGAGACCTGGAAGAATTTTTCTCTACAGTAGGGAAGGTAATTGGTAGTGAAGTTTAAATAATTCTGAATTCTGCCTCAAACTGTCCTAGTACAACTTGAGCCCAGGTTTGGTATTTTTTCAGAATTGTAGGCATGTGGCTCTCTGGAGCTTCCTATACCTGTGCAAAGAGGGGTTAATGATAAAGTAATTATTAGAAGCTTTGAATACGAAAATGTAGCTTCTTATTGTAGTTTTTTGATCATGCGATGTGAGGTAAAACATGTTGATGCAATTCTGACTCGGGTAACATGATTTTTCGTATTTTCTTCTTTTTTCAGATGGGTCTGTCAGTTATAGTGTAATTTGAAAATTCATATAACTAAGCTGGAAAAACGTCATTTGCTTTATCAGCTGTAAGGTTCTGGTGTAGAGCATTAGAGTGCTTCAAGTTCTGTCACATCAAAAACAGAACAGCAGCTTTAATGATGGCTTGCCTCTGGGATATGTTTGTTAAAAAAGGTGTATGCTGCTGTAGAATTAAAGCTGTTGGCTTGGCAGATATACTCAGTATTAATACATGTCTGAGAAGTAGGCTGCATTAGGTTTTTTCCTTTTTCTCTAAAAGTATTTGCATCTCTGTTCTTGCCTTTCAGGTTCGTGATGTGCGAATGATTTCAGATAGAAATTCCAGACGTTCAAAGGGAATTGCGTATGTTGAATTTGTTGATGTTAGTTCAGTGCCCCTGGCAATAGGACTGACTGGACAGAGAGTCCTGGGTGTACCTATCATAGTACAGGCATCACAGGTAAGGAGTTGTAAACCTCCTTTTTTTCCATGCAGTTATGCCTCTTGTATCTTGATGAGAAACTTAGTGTTTGAAAATTTGGTTACCCCTGAATATTGGGAAAACCTTAACATAAGGATGATTATTTAAGCTAGTGATAATGGACTTTTGTTTCCTATAGATAATAGGCAAATTAAAGTGATTCAAAGTTGTGTAAAAGCAGTAGGAAAACACAGATCATAAGCAGGTAATAGTAAAGAAATTGTTAATGGTGTTACAGAAGTGAAGACTATATGCGTTCCAGATAATTTGCTAGGTAGAAGCCAGAATTCTGCATGAAGTTGTTCAGTTTGAAGGCTTTTTTGGAATCTCTTGTCTACACTTTGGTCATGGTCTTTGGTTTTGTAGCTCTTAAGTTCAAGTCTGAACTTCATGGAATAGTCTGGATAGACTGCAGATCGTGTAATAGCTTCTGTATGTTTGGTAAATCTTCTAGTTTATGTCTGATAAGCATTTACTTCTTATGTTAGAAGGTTTTATTACTTTCTTATCAAAGGTGAATTTTTATTTTCTCTTTAGGCAGAGAAAAACAGAGCAGCAGCAATGGCAAATAATCTACAGAAGGGCAGTGCTGGTCCTATGAGGCTCTATGTGGGATCATTACACTTCAACATAACTGAAGATATGCTTCGAGGAATCTTCGAGCCATTTGGCAGGGTAAACTTCAATATTTGGCATATTATATTAGAATAGTTTATTTGAAAAACCTAGCTTAGTTGTAGAGCACTGGCAGCTTCTGGAAATAATACAGCTTCATACTCATGAAATACTTGTGGCTTTCTTGTACTGCTGTGCCTGTGCATCCATAGGCATTAGGTATGTGTGTAGTGTTGGAGACCAGATGAGAACTTGGATTTGTGGTGGTGTCCAGTGAATTTGACTGGCAGGTCTTAGAAAGTTCAGAATTCAATGAATACCTGAAAGTAAGGAATGGTGGGGGGAAAAGCCCCAAAACCAGACAAATTCTCTATGTTGTATCCTGCTCTGGCAACTTGTAGTATCTTTCCCTTCCAGGATTGTGAATGAGAGCCCCATTTCATGGGTTAAAAATGCAAAACATGGAACTGGGGCTGAGGTCTCTGAGAATAGTACTATCTATCATCTGTTTCTGGCGACTTTACTGCAGCTTCAGCTGATGTTAAAACCATGAAATAGTAGTGTGTCCTATACAGCTCTGACTTGGGCCCATTCTTAGTCCTGAGCATTGGGCAGCAGGATGCAGCATGGTAATAAGTTTATGTAGAGAGAATTATGGAAGTGAGCAGATAAAACCTGAAGTTTCCTGTGGAGTTACAATATGTTAGCCCTACTGTTCTGGGGTATGTATCATTTAGATAGGGGAAAAGTTAAATATTCAGTATGCTTCTTAATGGGTAAAAGGAAGTCTGTTGATGTTTGAGGTTTTTGCCTACTGTCTTTGGATATGAGCTCTGCCTCATACATGTAGTAGCAATGTATTATTTTATTCATTAATGTTTTTAATAAATTTATTAATGTTTTATTCAGACTCAGTATGCATATCCCTGTAAATCTCTTGTGCAAAACCCTGGAAAATTGCTACAATTTAAATTATAATCCACATGGCTGCTCTTCTGGTGGTCTGGGGTTTTCTTTTTCCATCAAGGTCTGGTAGTAGGATTAAGGTAGTATAGGAAGCTTGTATGGAGACCTGTGAAGATCATTCCTTCATATTCTATATACTCCAGTCCTTCCCAGTGCTACTTTATGGCTAATGGATAACTCAGCAATGTGTTTTAGATTCAGTAACTGTAAACTTCTAGGAGTTCCCATGTACAAATAGTTATTAAAATATACAGCTTTTTCTTAAAAAGCCTCATCAGTTATGCATACTGCTTTTCTTAGCTTGTAAAACAATTTCTCGGCATATGAGGTGCCGTGATTAGTGTGTTTCAGTTACAATCTGATCATGTCTGCATGCTCATTCTGCTAGAATTCTGCATCAGGACCAAGCCTCTACCTTTAGATGAGTTTAAAACCCTTACATTTACTGCTTCACTATCCAAGTACCTATTTAGCCATGAGTGTATTAATTTTAAAGTGAGGAAGGAATGAGAAGTTAATTAAAAAAAAATAAGTTATAGTTTCGCATTCATATGTGTATTTGACAGGGCTATTTTCATGTTGTGGTTCTGATATTTTGGGGTTTGTTCCAAAATGTGTGATAATAAATAGCTTTATTCTTATCTTCAGATTGAAAGTATTCAGCTCATGATGGACAGTGAAACTGGACGCTCAAAAGGATATGGATTCATTACGGTATGACTAGAATTGCCAGGTTTCTTTGACAATTTCTGAGTGTAACCTTCCCATGTATGGAGAATATATATGAACCCTCGTGTGTGTATTTGTGTGGTTATATAATATCAATCTAAACATAATAAAGTAAACATAATCTAAATTTGTTACACATGCATGGGAGCTACTAAATTGCTATTTGATAACTATATGTCTAAGTTTAGAAGTGTCATGTTGCAGGATGCAGCACTGGCTTTTTTCTCTGTTTTCTGACCGTTCTCTGGGTATTGTGAATATGTTTAAATGGGAATAGTTTCCTCTGTAGTCAGTGCCTGCAAATGCAGATACTATCTTCTGCAGGCAAAGACACTAGTAAAGACTGGTGTTTTTTATAGCTGAAAAATAATTGAATTTGAGCTCTTTAGTGGAAATAAAATTTTAGAGACTGAAACTTTCAGTTGAAAACATCTTTCCTCTTTACCCTCAGGTACACAGTTTTGTGAACTTGAGTTTCTTGACTGACCTGGCAGTTTGTCATGGGGGAAAAAGTCTCGGCTGGGACCTCTGGCACATGGACACAAATGAAACCAAACTTACTATATAGTTCATACTTGATGGTTTAAACACTGTTAAAATGCTTGTATGTTTATTTTGATGTTTCACAGCATAAAGCAGAACATATGTTAGGAATAACCAGTAAATACCGTGGCAGTTGTAAGGTTGCAAAGGAATTGAGTGTCACTCTTTAAACAGAACCACAGCCAAGACTTCTGTTAATTGCAGTATCTAGATGATATAATTTCAACAATATATTTCAATATGTAGTACCTAACTATGAAAAAGTAAATACCAAAATATGTGTGTGTTTGGTTTAAATGAAGAATACCAAGCATATTTACATTAGCTTGTTGCTATTATATTAAAGAGTTTCTCCTATTTGCTTAATTGTGGATATTACATACAGCAGAGGCATTGCTGAATCCTGTAAGCAAGTATTTTTGAATTTATGTCTTTCCAATCTACAGTTCTCAGACTCTGAGTGTGCCAAAAAGGCCCTGGAACAACTCAATGGATTTGAGCTGGCTGGGAGGCCAATGAAGGTCGGACATGTAACTGAGCGTACTGATGCTTCCAGTGCTAGCTCATTTTTGGACAGTGATGAGTTGGAACGGACTGGAATTGACTTGGGAACAACTGGTCGCCTTCAGCTGATGGCAAGACTTGCAGAAGGTGTGTGCGATGTTGGATAACAAGTATGTGAAGAAGTTTTCAGAATTTGAATTAAAACACTCCATGGAACTGTTAGGATAAATGTATGAAACTTTTAAATGGGTGGTACTTTTTTATTTTTTGATAACAGGAAGATTTCTGATACTTCTGTTACTGCGTCCCTAACTGACTGAAAGGGCTTGCTCCAAGGTCTGTCTGTGTTCTGTTCTAGGTACTGGTTTGCAGATTCCTCCAGCTGCACAGCAGGCTCTGCAGATGAGCGGATCTTTGGCCTTTGGAGCTGTGACAGGTAAGAAATGATGACATAGATATATCTATATAGATATATATAGATATATGTATATGTACACTTTATAAATTTGAGACAGGAGGTACTTAACTCTGTTGTTTGGTCTTTTAAAATGAGAACACAGGTATTGCATCATGTTTTACAAACTGTAGAACACTGCAAATCCATAAGCAAATAACTAGTGACGGTATATCACAATTTGGATGGGTGTGATCCACTTTGCATATTTTTTCCAAATCTTCTGTTTTTCATCCCAAACCTTTATCTCTTCACTATTCTCTGTGCTAGTGGGGATTTATGTGTTTTACTGCAGTGTAAGTGTTGACTGTTAAAAATGGCAGGCTCAGAATTGGAAGAGGATTGACCCCTTTAGAAAAACCAGAGCTGTACAAGGGGCAGGAAGGTTATTAGGACTTTATGGAGGACACATCACAAAGATGGCAGCAGTGTTTTTACAGCATATGTCCTTGTGAGGAAAGACATTTTATGTCAGGGAATACATGTGTGGGTTGGATTTGGCTATAGCTGTGTGTTCTGCAGGTGAGTATGCTGGAAAGAGGCTGAGAGATGTGATTGCTGCTACTTAGTTCATAGCTGGCCTGAAAAACAAACTATTCATAGGATCTTCAGAACTAGAGCAGTGAGTAACCTCCCTGAGTGTTACTTTTTTTTTTTGCTACTTTTGATTAATATTTTGATTAATACTCTGAAAAAAGGATATGAGTCTGTCATAGCAGTAGAAAAGAGCTGAATGTCACAGATAACCAGAGGCTGGAATGTGTGGGAAGTGTCAGGAAAGTAGGAAAGAAAAGGTGGCATTGTTGTTTGCCTTCTAACAGAGCTTGTGATGGAAATTATTCAGATTTAATATGATAGGCTGATTGATGTTACTGAAGTTCAGGTGCAGTCTTAAAAAGAGCATACATAGGAAGCTGTAGACAGTTGCTAAAAGAATATAATAGAGCTGTTCTACAGATGTGCCCTTGGAAGGAAAAGGAACTGGCCAATGACAGAAAAATGTCAATTGTCTGCTTGAGAAGGATGAAGAATGTACATGCAAGGAAAAGGTGTATCTAGTCCAGAAAGAGAAGGGAGTGGTAACCACCACTGAAGTTAGATCAACATTATTGCAGGTTATAAAGTGGTGTGGCAGTCTTGTATAGTAGGCAATTAGGAATAAGAATAGTGTTTTAAAAAAACACCAGTCCTTTTCCTCCCCTGCGTTTGAAACAAACAAGATCAAAAAAATCCAGGCTTGCTAAATCAAGAACATGGGCAAAAATGTCTGACACAGCTGAATAATTCAGGTAGTATGGAATCAGCATGAGAAAACATGGCTGCAAGAAATAAATAATGAGGCTGAATACAGGTGTTAGAGGACAATGCAAGTTTAGCAACTGTAGAAATAAGGGTGGTAGGGGTAGCATTGTTCATCCCATTTGTATTGTACAAAAGGAATAATGCAGACATGTGCAACTTAAGTAACTTTGGAAAAAGATAAAGCTTTTTACTGACGTAGAGTCATGAGCTATCCCCAAAATGAGATTTGGTTATGGATTAAAGATCTCTTTACTCTTGTTAGAGAAAATTACTACCAGGAATTATGTCATTGTGGGAGACTTTAACTTCCCCGATACAGATTGGAGAAGAATTGCTAGTAATAATGGTGGGGCCCAGATATTCCTGGATGTGATATCCGACAAATTTCTTCATCAAACACTCACTGACTCATGAAGAGGGGATGCTATTTTAAACTCAATTTGGTAAGTAATGAAGATGTTATGGATGAGAATAGAAATTACCATTGACTTGAGGGATCATGAGTTGCTCGCATTTAAATGGAAGGATACATAATCAGATCTAACTGATGGTTGAAGAAACAAGGTAATTAAGGCATCTGGTCTGAGCAACTTGGGTGTTTGATCAGGCAGGATGTGAAAAGTTTCTTCTGTTTCACATTGCTAATGCTGTGTTGGATTTGTACTCTACAGAAAGAAGAAAAAGTCATGTTAGTGTGGGCTCCATGCTAAACCTGGGTGATGAGCTACCTCAAAAGAAATAAGGAATGACTACATAGCCTATGAATAATAGGAAAAAGGACTGATAATAAAACAATATTTTTAGTTTGGGAAACATAAAAATATGATCTGACTGTTGGCAGACAATTATCAATTGAATTAGACATTGTAAAAACTATGAAAAGAATAGATGAAGGCTTATCAACTCTTGAAGAAAAATAAAAAAAAGGAAGGAAGTGGGACTCGGAAGAATGAAAAACTACTCCCAAGATGTTTCTATGTTTTTTGTTGTGTCAATTTGTAGTGATCATAAGGTTTGGAATTTGAGGAAGGTAAGCTAAGAATATGTATTTGAAAAATAAAAATAAAAAAACTGCTGCTGAGGTATAAACAAAGCTAAAAGTAAGAGGCTAATGTAAACAGTTCAGAGGAGTAAAAGTGTCATGAAATGAGTGATGGAATACATGTGTTAAACATGAGGTCTTATTTCTGGTACTGTCAATAAATGTTTTAAGTCCATGATACAGTATATAGCTGAAACATGTGACTCTAAATTAGGTACACTTGAAGGAAGAAGAATGTGGTGTGGCCAGATTCTGGTCCCTTTACTGACTAGACTCTGCTCCTTCAGAAGTCATACTAAAGAAGGGTACACTGGAGAATATTACTCAAGTATGGCATAGTGTCAGAAACTGCATTTAAAGACTAGCTGTCTCTGATAAAACTGCCTTTCCTTGGCAGAGGAGGAGCAGCTTAGCTTCTTGATGATCTTTAGAAACCTGTCATTTGGAAGTTAGTAAACTGGAGAAGTGAGTAATACAGGAAGTACAAGGTATATCAAGAAGCTGGCTCAGAGAAAGAAGAATTTTTTTTTTTTACAGGTGAAAGCTGGGAAAGTTTGAGGCTGTTACTAAAGCCAAAGTTCATATACTGGGCTGGTTTTGTGTAATATTTATATGAATGAAAATGGTCAGCAGTAGGAAAGAGGTGAATAAATGCATAGGTGCTGTCGACAAGAAATTCTTGGGGTGTTGTATATTGTTCACCTCTTCAGGATTAAATCAAATTCCAGTCGCATAGTCTGGAAGTTTAGCAGTGGAAGAATGGCCAGGGAGGAGAAAAATGACTAAATACTTCAGTTATCAGTGCCAGAATATGACCTGGCAGCATGATGCATTGTTAAAATACCAGCTGTGTTCCTAGAGGCAAGTACACCTGAGCTTCTGATGTGTAATATATAGATCCACAAACAACTTCTAGTAATCCATGTTCAAGAGGGAGTCAATCAAACTAAAGTAGGGAAGGTAAAGAATTAGTTTTAGGGGACACCTCAGGCTATTACTCCTATGGAGAAAATTCCAACATGGCAAAGAATTTTAAGCTGAACAGTTATAGCTATGTACTCCCTGTTCTCTTTCTGAACATAGGAAATTTAAATAATCAGCATATAGAACATTCTTCTAATGCTTTGTGGGACAAAGCATTCCTTACTTGTGGAAGGAGCTGTCTGTTTATGAAAAAAATTGAGATGGTGTGCTGAAAAAGAGGCAGGGAGATAGGTATTAACATCCTGGACCTCCATTTAGTCTCTGTTCTGAGTAATAACTTGGGACACCGGGTTATACTTGGCAGGCTTCGGCCTATTTAAAGTCATCTGGATTTCAAAATAAACTTTTTATTTTAAGACACAAAATGCTTTCAAAGATACATTTTTATTTCTGCTTTCTCTGTATATTAAATACGTACTCCCATCATGCTAAACTTGCTGTTCTTATAGTTGGTATATAATGAAAAAGTTACTTTGTTCTGAATTTGACAGATGTTTTAGTTTTCGTATACTATTTAAAACTGTTTGTAGGGAAACATGAATTGACAGTAAAGAGTGACAGTGAATTTCTTAATTCTGAGTGATTTTGGAAGGGAGAGAGGAAAGGACCATTCTTCAGTAATGACCAACAAGGTAATCCAGTTAGTTGATAAAAGATCTGGAGAACAGTAGGTTATGTTCCAAAGGTGGTAAATAGTTAACCTGTGAAGCTGTTGCACAAGATAGTGGTAGCAGACTTTGCAGTGTTTAGGATAGATCTTACTTGGCCCTGGACGGATTTTGCATTGATGATGTGTGCAGGTTTACTACATTAGGTGTCGGAATTCTGGAGCATTTGGCTGTAGGAGCCCCAGGCTGACCCACATCGACAAGTTCAGCTGAACATGATGAATTGGAATTCAGCAGAAAAAGTGTCTGTCCTCATTTAAATTGAGAGAGTCCAGATATTTGTGGATTTCTTTAAAATGCCTTTGTTTCCAAAAGAGTCTGAGTATTAATTAACTAGGTAATTAGTTACAGATTTGGGCAAAACCATGCAGTTTCTGCAGAGAATACAGGCTAAGGCAGCCTTCGCTATTGTGATATTTCCCATTCTATGGAGGTGAGGACTTTCTGTGTTCAGATCTGAATGGAAACATGCCAAACATAGCCAGCTCTTTACAGCTCAGCCTTCAGAGCTTGCTTCTTCCAGCTCTTGCTTTTCACTATGGTTCTTAGTACACGTTCTTTGCAAGGCACTTGGAAAGGCACGTGAGGAAAATCTAGAGAAAAAACGTTTATTCCTGTCAGTGTTGTGGAGGAGGTTTTATTAGAAAGGGAAAAAGTATGTTGATACCAGTGCCTTCAGGTATTTCCAGGTAAGCTTGGAAGCTTACTTGGTGCTCATCACTTTGCTATTCTCTAAATGAGTGAATTAAGGCAATGGTTTGCTTCAATCTTCTCACACCTAGTGTCTGTTAAATGGAACTGTGTTAGAAGTGGCTTATGCTTACACTTCTTGAATTCTGAAGTTTTCTGTTAGTTCAAAGATGTCAAGTATTGAAGTCACGTACTTGGAAACAGCTAGAAAGTCTGCATTTATTTGCTCTCATCACTTTGAATTGGGACAAGTGTATGTTATTAAACAAGTAAAAAATGATATTGTTAAACAAGTGCATAATGTTTTCTAGGCAAATTACATGTTCTGAACACTTGAAAATGTTTTGAATTTGAAAAATATCAAGGTTACTTGTATAATTATGCCACCCATATGAAAGGCTAGCAGATGAAGTATTGCCGTATTTTACTTAAATTGAAATTTGATAACAACTTTAAGAATGTCAGGTTTGGATAGCTGTGTGCTTAACTGCTTTTAGGTAGTAAATATGTCAAACCTCTAATGCATATCAGAATTGCTGTAATGATTTTCTTGTGGAGTAAAACATGTATTGTAAAGAGCTCAATGATAGCAAAAGCAAGTTGAGAGTGATACATTGAATTAAAGGACATGTTCATATCTATCCTTCTAAGGTATTGTTTCTCTTTAAAATGCTTTGTGGTCATGGACTCTGTCAAGTACAGAATATTCCAGTAGAGAAGCTGAAATTAGTGAAACTACTCACAACTAGAGCAGTGATACTGGAATAAGTTCTTAAGCACAGAAATATAAGCTGAACAATGTGGCTGGCAGGTGATGATATAGTGATGCTAAAAAGTGTACTAATTAACTTCTCTGTTTTTCTTTAGATTTGCAAACAAGACTGTCTCAGCAGAATGAAGGTAAACTAGCATTTGATACGACTTGTAATTAGTAGGTTTTATTTCAGGTGTCTGTAGGGGAGATGCTTCTGGTATAGGGTTTGGCCATACCTGAGAAATTGTGTCCTGTTAGTTGTTTGTGAAGAATCATGCTGTGATTGATTTTTTGACTGAAAATTTTTTATAGCATTTTCACCGGTGTTGGTAACATTCCTCAGCCATGTGCTAGTCCAAGAAAATCTGTGGGCTGGTATTTGTTGTTGGGTAGGAGTGTTGTCCCTTCCTTAAAGAGGGGTCATTTGAGAATCAGGAGTTTGGGTTTACTGTCTCTGAGTCGCTCATTATGTGACTGCACAACCCTTAAATGTCTGAAGTATATGGGGAAGAGGGCTATTACTGCAATTACACTGACAGAAGCCTGAAGCCTATGGAAGGGCAGCCTGTGGGACAGTGTTTCATACAATGCACTGGGATGATGAGAAGCAATAAATGACAAGTAGTAATTTCCCAGTTACAGGGAAAGCAATTTCAGTTGTCAGATGTTTCCTACAGTATGTGTTTTCAAGGGATGAAAGTGTAGGTACACTTTTGAAGCATAATTCAACATGCTTAAAACAGGTTTTAAGAATTCCCCAAGGTGTCTGTCCTTTGCTGTGCAGTCAGCTGGGGTGGTGCTGTCCTGAGCTGCTGCTGGACTTCTATGAGGAGCAGAACATTAAAGGTGCTGCTGACATAAAACTCAGGCAGACATTTTAGATGCAAATGAAGATGTGTGCCTTTTAATGTTTAAATGGAAAATCTGCCAAAATCAATGTACACTATTATATTTTCACTTATCTTCAACTGTGATTCATAATGTGCTGGTTTTTGTATTGATCAGTTTAAATGTATCATCAGTAGTGTCTGGTTCTGAGTTTTGCTTTCCTGCCTTTAAATTCTGTTTAGTCAGAGCTGTTTCCATTATGCTGAATAAATTAAAATCATGCATAGTGGGTTCTTAGATATGCTAATGGGTTTTTTTCCATTACAACAGTTCTGGCTGCAGCTGCTTCTGTACAGCCACTTGCAACACAGTGCTTCCAGCTTTCCAACATGTTTAATCCTCAAACGTAAGTGATTTATCATTGTCTGACTGGCATTTGTCAATGGCTTTAACATGTAAGAAAGAAATCAGAATATTGCAGGAGTGTATTTAATGGGTTTTGGGGGTAGATTTTGTCTGAGTGATATCTCTCCTGTTTTTCCTTCCTCTGTACAGTGAAGAAGAAGCTGGCTGGGACACAGAAATTAAAGATGATGTGATTGAGGAATGTAACAAACATGGAGGAGTTATCCACATCTATGTTGACAAAAATTCAGCTCAGGTATGCTTGCTTCTGGGGGGAACACACTGAGCAGATGTTCTGAGTTCTGTTGCTCCCTTTTGTCTAGGGGGAGCATTACAAATATGGGGCTTTTCCTAAATGGTACCTAAATTTCTTAGTTTGTGCACAATGTGGGTGGTTCCCTCCCGTTGTGAATCATTGTGTGTAACTTTGGATGCGTGTACAAGCAGCTTTCTGGTGCTCTGTTTACCCAGCTGAAGTTCCTGTAGAAGAGCAGTGACCAGTTCAGGCATTTGGCATTTCCCTTAAGCTGTGCTTTTCCCAGAAGTCATGGACTTCACTTTCCTCTTTTTAGAGCATAGGCTTCAGCAGAAAGGGCCCTTGGTCCAACAGAATCATGGTGTACATGTAAATGTGTGCCTCATCCCATGCTTAGAAATAGTTGTGGTCACTCATGACGTTAAAGACTTGCAGTGGGCAGTCTGAGGGCCTGGAGTTAGAACAGGGGAAAGACTGCTGCTGCTGACTCAATTCCAGATTTGTGTCTGCATTTTAAACTGGTGAATATATTTTTCTTCTGACTTCCCCTTGTTTACATACTCCCCAGACCAGTTATCTCTTCTCTGTATTTTGGGTCTTAGAATGGATAAACTCTGGAAGGTCTGTAAATAGATAAACTATCTTGAACCATTTTCTAAAAGAATTCACAGCCCAAACAAAAGTTCAATTTTCAGATGGTTTCACAGTTGGGTTAATTTCTATCCATCAGATCCTAAAAGTATCTTCTTGTGCAGCGGTACAAGACTGAAATCTTGTACCTGTTGGTATGCTTAGGTGGGATTGCTCTGCTGCAGTGATCCACTTGGTACTCACCAACCATCGCTGTCTTGTGCAGCTGCCCCAGTGTCACCCAAAACCCATTCTTGTGGGTTACAGAGAGGTTAGATAAGGGGCTGCAGTATAGAATATCAAACGTGCTGCCTTACCTGGCATCTTAGAATCACAGCTGTGATCTTGGACCGTTGGACTGATGAGAGGCAGAAACCTTGGCCACAATGTGTTTATTACTTAGAGAAAACAAAGTGTTCTTTGACACGAAAAAAACCCAAAACAACTAACAACCCAGAACACTTCCCACCTCCAAAAAACCCTCCTAGCCACCAAACATAAAAAAAATCACTGCACAACCCCTCAAAATTACATCAGCCCTTGAGATACCTCACATAGGTTCTAAGCACATGGAGCTGCAAAACCTGTTTCACATTTGCAGATGGATTTAAAATAAAAAACTACAAGCTACTACGTAATGAGTTAATTTTTCATAAAAAAATTAAAGGTTTTGTCGTAGTAGCACAGCAGTGACCCAGATACAAAATACCTACTGATACAGTTTCCATTGTACCGTTCTGTTTTCTAGGTTTAAATTCTGGGCACCTTCAGGGCTCTGTCCCAGACAGACTTCCATGCTGAGGGCTTTGGAGGTTGGCTTATCAGGGTGTGATTTGTTGTGGATGAAACAGATGCAGTCCCAGCTGAGTGCATGGCTCATGTACCCCACCTATCTGTGCTGCTGGGTGTTAGGGAATACCACAGCTTTGTGTTCCTGTGCCTCATTTTGGGCATTTAAGCAGCTTAGGTGCCTTTGCAGGGGGAGGCTGAAAGCAGAGCTGTATGTGTTAATTGATCGCTTAGTGCCTTAATCACTGATCCCTAAGCTCGGGTTCACCCCATGAGAAAGGAATGAGTAAGATTGCAGTGGGGAGAGTTAATACAGGCTGACTAAAGCTGCTAAGGAAAGGCTGGAGTCTGTTTTTTAATATACTATTTTCCTGAACAATCTGTTTCAGCTAGAATTGATTTTCTTGGGTATTACTGATGGTCTATTTTTAAGCAGGCAGCCAGAAAAATGCCACATATTACTATGGGCATCTGTGTGTCTTGGAGTTGTTGGATATGATTGTTGCAGTTTTCTTGATTAGGGAGGCAGAGTTCTTGATCTGCAGATGGGAAACTCCAGGTGTCTCTGGTGAGGTTCAAAGATCAATCGGTCATTCACCTTGGGAACTATCTCAGGCTCTTCCTGCCCTGCTGGGATGGGATTTTCCCTTTGCCTCAGTTCTTGTTCAAGTAAAGAAAGACATGCTGATGTTTATGTACAGTTTTTATGGCAACAGTCTTGCTTGAAGTGCTGCTTGTCCTTCTCATCTGGGGGAATGGGGAGTGCTTGGTTCTTGTGGAATCCAGATTATCAGCTTGCATGTTGAGTGAAGCATATGTGGTTGAGGTTAGTGCCTTGGGGGCAGCCAGACCCCTTGTGCTCTTTTTCACATGGTGTGAATGATTAAGAGCCTTTAGCTCTACTCTCTAAAAGGCTCTCAGGAACAGAATAGCCATCAATGGCTCAGTGATTGCCAGTCAAATGCATGTTTGGGCTGTCTTGGAAAATCCTATTCAGAAAAATCTAAAGCTGCAGTAACTGCCACAGTGGAATAGTGCCTGCCAGTACTACTGTCCCCTTCTCTTGTTCTCATCCTGTGTGATTAATGCCATGGTGGAGCAGGTGTGCCTCTTGTCACAGCCATGTCCAGGGGTGGCTGAGGAACAGCACTGGGGAAGTGTCTCCTGACTCCTCACAGGCTGCACTATTCTGTCTTGCAGGGCAATGTGTATGTTAAATGTCCTTCCATCGCTGCTGCCATCGCAGCTGTCAATGCTTTGCACGGGAGGTGGTTTGCAGGTGAGTGTTCCATGTACATGCCTACATTTAGTGATTACATTTGGTCATTATAGAAATGACCAAACACTGATTTTTACTTTTTTTCCTCTCCTGATTAGGTAAAATGATTACAGCAGCGTATGTACCTCTTCCAACATACCACAGCCTTTTCCCAGACTCTATGACTGCAACCCAACTACTGGTTCCTGTTCGACGATGAAGTTTAATTTAGTCAGTTTTGTACATAGGTATTTTTTGGAGGAAGATTGAGTTATCTTTTATTTAGATAAAACTAAAGGAAAGGATTTAATGTCATTTTGTGTACACTTCCTGCTATCTTTAAAAATAAAATGAAGTAAGCAGAAATGCAGTGTGTTCATTCTCCCTAACTAGCATTTCCACTGTATACAAAGCTGTTGACTTCTTGTTCTGCCTTGTAATTCTTGTACATTGACAAAGGTGATCCGTAGGAACTGAGAAGTAGCTCATAGATAACAAGTACTCTGTAAAAGGCAGATGGGACATAATGACATTTTTAATGTTTCATGAGCCTTTCTTTTAATGCAGCAAAGACATTTTACATTTCACTAAATGTGGGTGATCTGCTCAAGGGTAGTATCAGAGAGAGACTGGATTGAAGGGACATATTTAGTGTTTTTGTATAAATGGAAAGTCCAAAAAGCTACTGAATGCTGACTGCAGACAGCTACTCAGCTTGCTTTGTGCTGAATAATTGGTGAGAATAGGAGGATTGAAGGGTGTTATTTCTTGATGGTAACTTTTGATTATTGTATCTGTACAAGTTTCTTTGTAAATACTGTGAGGTGTGTCTAAGTTTCCAAACAAAACATCTCTGCATTTCCGGATGAGTTTCCACGTGCGCAGTGGGGCAGAGCTGAAGGATTTCAGCCAAGTGTGAAAATGGGTAGGAAATACAGAAATGTGTTTTGTTCTGGTTGCATATAATCTTTGCTCTTTTTAAGCTCTGTGAGCTCTGAAATATATTTTTGGGTTACTTCAGTGTGTTTGACAAAACAGCTTGATATTTCTATCAAAGACTTTCATATTGCAACAATCTTTGTAAGAACCACTCAAATAAAATTCTCTTAAAAAGGCCTTCATGAAGCTTTATTTCTCTGTTTTCCCAGTGTGACTTAAGCGGTGTCTGCTTAGGCCTGGAGGTGAGTGATATATGCTCTGCACTGCCCAGTGTCTGGGATACCACTGCACAGTATCTAGGTACGCCATGGGATATCATGTGCTCAGACAGTACAAGCAGGAGCTGTCCCACCCCTCTGTGCAGTGTGGCCATGGTTGCTAAGGATGTGGGCACAATTCTTGCCGTCCTCAGGCACGCTTAAAATTCAGTCCAGAGACGACCCCGCCTCGTGCCCACCTTGACTCCCATCCTTCAAAAATGTTCAAGTGGCTGGAGAAGTCAGTTATGTTGGCTTTCAATCTGGTTTCTAGAGGGTGCCTGCCTCTGTGCTTTGCCCTTTCTACCCCCGTCCCATCTCCCTGGCCTTTTTAACCACCAAGAAAAGACAAAGGTGGAGAGAATAGGGAGAACAGAACATTCCTTGGGAGTGGGTGAAGGTTGGGCAGGCAGCAATGTTGCTGGTGTTCCTGTGGTATTGTGAGGAGAGGACCTGCTATGTAGCCCCTGGGGCTGTATCTGTCCTTGAGCTGCAGTGGGGCAAAGGCCTCTCCTAAATCAAGGAACTGTGAGTAAGCAAAAGGCAAAGGTGGAGAGGGGCTGGGACTACAGCAGGATCCTGAGCAATAGTAACATAATAGCTGAAGTAGAGCTGCTCTCTAGCTGTGCTTCAGGCAGTGAATTTGTGTTTCTGCCTTGAAAATAGGGAAAAGGCACTTGGACCAGATCCAGGCTGTACAGGTGCTGGTTCAGGTAGTGCTGCTGCTCATGTGTCTTCCTTATGCAGAACTATAGGAGGAGCAGAGAGAGGCCTTGTTTCAAAAGGCAAGTAATGGAAGACCACAACACCAACAACCCTTTCCTAGGGCAGCTGTAGGCAGCACACTTCCTGGGCTGGTGAGAAGCAGGAAGGATCCCCCTGCTCTCCTGGGCAAGTGCTGACCACCTTGTAGGCCTGCTAAACCAGATTGTAAGAAAAGGCTCTGTTTCTGGGACCACAGCTCTTACGGACCTGCCTGAATCCTGGGGTCCCCTTACCCTGTTGAGGATACCTGCCCCATGACACTTGGGACTCAGAAATGGAACCTACCCATTTTTGCAGGAGGACAGAAATTTGATCATTAATCTGAAGTACCCACATCCAACTTTCCTAGATTCAGGAACGCATGAAGGAACAGAGCAGCTCTACATCCACATGGGCATTGTGAGCTGACCAAATGCCAAAAGCAGAAACTTGTGTGGTGTACTTATATCTGTAAAACAGGAACTTCAATGTAGTAAAAATTATTAATTTTCCTTGTTTAGGGACTAGGAGAGGGGAAGAAAGTAGAAATTTTGTAAAAAAGCACACTTGAAATCAGCAGAGCACAGAGGGGAAGGACTGAGGTTTCATTAAGAGCTCTCACTTCCAGGTATCTAAAGATTTTATTATTGTACAGTGGCGGAATGGCTGGGTGGGGGCGCTCTGGGACAAATCCCAAACTCCAGATTAGCAGCGTATTCCCATACCAATGGCCATGAATGTCCCAAATGTCCCACCGCTTTGCATCATCGTTTTGCCAACTCCACCCATCAGCTCTCGTCCTCTCATGCCAATCCTGAGATAAAGAAAACCACAGGGATTATGTGAAAGCTGAAACCTGTCAGGTCACAGACGTGTAGCAGAAAACATCTGAGACAATTAGCTCATGGTTGCAAATTAGACACTTCTTCAATCTAAATCTGTGCAATTGTACAGCTGCTGCCTCCCCAGAGACTGGCTACAGTACCCTGTGCTACTGTGCAGGGGCTCTTGGGTGGACATCACCAATCGCCCATATCTATTTTTTTCTGTACTAGAACCTCCCTGCCACACCTTTAGCAGGAACAGTTTGCATCCTGGTCTCCCAAATACCCTTAATATGGGAAAAAAAATACTGTCCCAGTATTTCACTTACTAGAGTATAAAAAGAGTTGTCTGAGCTACTGTACTGCCATCTTCTCCAGCTGCAGTGGCAGTCCTTTTAATATCCCAAATTTAAATTAACTTTCTATTTACTACTGACTGTTTTTAATACGGAACACCTGAAAGGCCTAGAAACTTCAAAAGGTGTTTCTGTTCTCCAGTTTTCATTTACCCGAGGTCAGACTAAAACAAAAATAATTTTTCTGTCTCAAGAAGCTCTTGTAATATTTGGCTTTTAGGCATTGCAGTAAACTTAAGGGTCTAAGGAATTTCATGCACTTTATTCTTAAAACATGAGATTTTCCCTCAAAAATGGAACAGCAGAAGTACTGTAGTTGTACTTGTTGTAGTTGTTGTCATTCAAGTACAACAGAACCACTCTCACTGGTTCTTTTAAATGCCCTAAATATGTATCTTCTGCTAGCATCATGCTGCTTACCCTCTGCAAACTGAGAGATTAGAAAACTTCAAACTCGCATTGGATTAGGATTTGTGCCTTTTCCTCCTTCACCTCTAAATCATCATCAACTTCCAACCTACCAAATCATCACTCATGTTTAATCACAGATAAAAACCACCAGAGTTCTGCAAAGTGTGAAAGAGCTGACTTCAGTGATTCTTTGTCATAGAGGATGTGCAAGGTCAGTCAGCAGTGACAGAGTAAACGTAGAGCAGCAAACATGGCTTGTTCTCATGTCAGCATGCTGGTGAGCCCCAGGGGAAGGTGGAATATGCCCTTCTCCATTGCACAGTCGGACTGTGCCAATGCCAGTTGTGGCTTTACCCACACTCCTGCAATTCAGACTCAGGGTCAGTTTGGTAAGTGCCTCTGTGCAGGGCATGGCACATGCAAAGGGACCATGATACAGACACTGAGAGCTTACAGAGCACCTCAGGAAGCTTAAGGGCCAGGAAAAGGCTGTACATGTATCTGCACAAACAATTCACCCAGCTCCTCCTGGAGCTAATCCTCCACAGCCTCAGCTTCACAATGAATCTCCCTTACAAGAGGCAAGAAAAGGTCTGTGAAACTGAGACTTCCTGGCCACAGGGAGTGCCCAGGGTTAAGGTTACACACTGGGTGCTCACAGATGATGCCCTGCCAGCACCAGACTTACCTGCTGGAGCACAGGGCTTACTGCAATAGCTGAAGTCAGACAAAGTTCCACTCATGGGACTGGCACAGGACCAGACCCAATCCCTTCCCAACCCTACGGCAGGACCATTTCTTTCTGGCTATTGCCCTGTCACCACATGTCTGTGGAAGCCGTTTCCTTGGCATACCTGAGGCAGGAAAATGTTCCGAACAGCGCTCCTGCAGCCATGCCCACTGCAAAGCCCATCATGAAACCCATCTTTATTCTGTCAAAGCAGCTGGGCTGCGACTGCCCATACGGGCCCACGGTCACAGGCATCTGAAAAACAAAGGACAATATCCACATCGATTTACTGCTTTGTCTATAACCAAACTGGGCTGACAGGCCGGCCCGTGCAGCTCAGACCTTCTCACGCGTGCAGCGCTGGAGGTTGTGCTGGTTCTCAGGCTTGTTTCCTTGCCTATCAGGTAGGAAGGACAAGGAAGGAATGACGACCTCGTTTCCCCTCAACAAGCTCCTGCGAGCGCCGCTGTGGCTGCCGAGGCTGTTTAGGGACCTCAGCCTGTACGCTCCCAGTCCCTAGTGAGCAGCGCACGCGGCACCTGACCGAGCACCCAATGCTGACTCGTCCTTCGCGGCTGCCGCCGGTCGCGGAGGCAGAGCAGCGGGCAGTAAACCCACCCTTACGGAGACCGAGGCCAAGGACGGGGACTCAGCGCAGAGGCTCAGGCCGTAGACGCCTCAGGAACGTCGGCCATTGCCTGCCGTCCGGCGCAAGAGCTCTCGGGAGCGAACCGGGGTCCTCAGCGCGCGCTTCACCTCACCTGCGCCCCGGCCACCCCTGTTCCTGTGCCCGTGCCAGTGTTCGTGCTCCAGACCGTACCTCGCTAGGCCGCACCGCACCTCCGCCTGTCTGGGCCCCGCTTCCGGCGCGCGCCGTGACGTACAGGAAGAGGTGACACGCCTGCGCTGTGCCCGGCGCGCGCCATGCTGCTGTGGCGACGCTTGGCGGCCCTGAGGGGCGAACAAGCCCCGCGGCGGCTACGGTCGGGGGGACCGAAACCGGGACCGGAACCGGGACAAGGTAAGGCCACGGTCGGGAAGAGCGCCTGTCCGGGCAGGGACAGCTCCCCCGCTCCTGCCGGCCCCTGACAGCAGCTTTCTCCCTCTTCTCCCCTCAGGGCGAACCAGCGATGGCGGCGGTGCTCCTCGGCCGCTCTACATGGATGTCCAGGCCACCACCCCGCTGGTAAGGGCCGCACCGAGCATGGGAAGCGGAGCGGGGCCCCACACTCCGGTTCTCTCGCTCCAGCGGTCGCATGTGTCCCGTGCTGACGTGGGGGACAGGCGGCGTTAGGCGCAGACTGTTCTTGTCACCACAGGGCAGTCCGGCATCCCTCGGAAGGGCTGTAGCTATGCCGGGCAGCCTCCTGGATGGACAGCCCCAGCGCCGCAGGACGGGAGCGTGGCGGAGCCGCGAAGGGGCTCGCATCGACCCCTGCTGGAGTGGGGACAGTTGCGAGAAGCAAGACATTAATTACAAAATATTATAAATATAATTATAAATTAAACAAAAATACTGATCTGACATTTTTCTTAACATTTTAAGAGGTTGTATTTTTTCTGCTCAGAAGAAAGGCCAGATTGGATGTGGCTTGATCTAATGGAAGGTGTGTCCTTGTCTGGGCCAGGGGCATGGAACAAAATAAGCTTTAAAGTCTCCCAACCCAAATGGGTCTGTGATTCTGTTCTCTCAAATTATGATGTTCTTCTCTGACTTTCGGAACACATCAGGATTCCATGCAGAGAACATAATTGTCGAATATTTGTGTTACACATAAAATGTAGTAGCCTCAAATTTTCAAGGTCAGGCTCAAGCTAAAGCAAGACAGTGCAACAGAAGTGCTGCTGATCCCTTGACAAGGGGGCATGTCCATAGGGAACAGATACGGTTTCCCTTCTCCTTCTCTAAGGTGGGGTGGTTTGTGTTCCACAGGATCCCAGAGTCCTGGACAGCATGCTCCCATACCTAACAGCCTACTATGGCAACCCCCACTCCAGGACCCACGCTTACGGCTGGGAGAGCGAGGCTGCCATGGAGAACGCAAGGCGGGTGAGTCTTTGGTGCTCAGCGGTCATGCTGGTTTTCCTGCTGCTGAGGAAATCCCAGGTCAAAGGAACCTTAAAAAAAAATAAAAAAAGAAGAAAAAAACCCTGTTCTCTGTAGGCTGGATTTAGCAACTTCGTCTTTGCTTAGCTGTACATTAGAAGATTTATTGCAGGAGAAGATAGAATCATAGAACATTTCAAGTTGGAGGGGACCTACAAGGATCACCAAGTCCAACTCTGGCCCTGCAGAGGAAATCCCAACAATCCCCCCATTGTACCTGGGAGCATTGTCCAAACACTCCTTGAACTATGGCAGGCTTAAGGCTGTAACCACTTCCTTGGGGAGCCTGTTCTAGTGCCTGACCACCCTCTGGGTGAAAGGTATTTTTACTGATATGCAGCCTACACTTCCCCTGACACAGCACTGTCTGTTCCTTTAAACCATTGTCACTGGTCACCAAGAGCAGAGCTGCCTCTGCTGCCCCTCATGAGGAAGCTGCAGCCCTCAGTGAGATCTGACCTCAGTTTCATCTTCTTTAGACTGAAGAGTGATCTCAGCTATTTGTTTTACAGACTCTCCTCTAGGCCCTTAACTATTTCATGGTCCTCCTCTGGATGTTCTCTGATAACTTTATATCCTTATGTAGATTTGCCCCAAACTGCCCCCAGGACTTGAGGTGAGGCCACCCCAGTGCAGAGCAGAGCAAGACAGTCACCCCCTTGCTCAGCTGGCAATGCTGGGCCTGATGTCCCCCAGGACAGGGGCTGCCAGGGCACTGCTGGCTCCTGTTCCACTTGCCCTCAGCCCAAACTCCCAGGTCTCACCACTGCTGTGGTGCTGCTCTCCAGCCTTTTATTCCCCAGTCTGTCTGCATACCCAGTGTTGTCCAGTCCTAGGTGCAGAAGCTGGCACTTGCTCCAACAGTGAGATTAGAGCAACTAAAAGGGCAGAAAACAATACTTTAAGTAAAAGTGCCTCAGTATATTTGATTTTCTAGAGTCACAAGCATTTTGCTGAAGTCACTGGACTAACTCCATATTTTATCATTCTTCTAATCTTAGGTAAGGGTGTTTGTAATTGTTTTTGAAGTAGTATGTAAGGAGTTTTGTCTACTTAAGCTTTTATCTCTTTTATAGGAGGTTAATGCTTAATACCACTTCTAATGACTGTGGATTCCTTATGCAGATATTTTGACTATTTTTAGCATAACTTACTTAGGTACCAGCTGTAATCCTTTTGAACCTCAAAGGAGTATTCTTAAACATTTCACTTGTATTTTGCTGTAATGAATTGATTGTATGTTTTCTTAACAAGTCAAATTTGTATTTCTTTTTAAACAGCAAGTTGCAGATTTAATAGGAGCTGATTCACGGGAAATTATATTTACCAGTGGTGCAACAGAATCTAATAATATGGCAATTAAGGTAAAAGGTTTTTACTGATTCTTATTCATTATGTTAAAATTATGTATTTAAGAACAGTCTGTCAACAACTTAAATGTTAATATGTTGGAGTATAACATATTTTTATTTCTGGATTTACTTTTGTGATACTCTGTTACATATGTGGGTGAAATACATGGATGAATGTTTTGGTTCCCAGGACATAATTTTGAGGGCAGTGTAAAATATTTGATGTTTATCTTGCATACACCAAATGCAATCCTTCTGCTTATGTAATTGCAATCTTTATTGTGAAATATAGTGGACATGCAGATTAGAATCTTTTTTCTGATGAAGACTAGGTTGTGTATGTAGTATGGGGTTGTTCGGACTTCTCAGTGTTTATGACTCCACTGCAAAAGTTTTCAAAAATATGCTTTGGTTAAAGGCTTCTACAGCTTAACAGCAATAAACATTTTCACAGAGTTTTTGAGAAGTGAGATGCATTGAAAAGCAGGTGCTGATGGAGATATGTAGTATGGGTTATGTGTCAATACCTTTTAAATTCGTGACTTGGGTCAAACAAGAAAGATTCAAATGAACTGTATCTAAGTAGTAATTTCTTATTTCCAATCATACTGTGTAATACCTATTTTCTTCAGTGGCCAATTTCTTTTTCATGGACTGTGCCTGACAGGGTGTGGCAAGGTTCTATAAATCCAGAAAAAAGCATATTATTACTACGCAAACAGAGCACAAGTGTGTATTGGATTCTTGTCGTTCCCTGGAAACAGAAGGTTTTCGCATCACATATCTACCAGTTAAAAAAAATGGGCTCATAGATCTGAAGGTAAGTTGTTACAGATAAAAGGAAACTAAAAGAGGTTTTTGCTTTAAATTGATGGTCAAAACCTTGTGTCATCTAGATGAAAAAGAGGAAAGGATGATAAATATCACAAAGTAGAAGTGACAATCGTAGTCATATCTGTCAGATCTGGAGAAGGATTTCTGTCTAATGTCCTACACTTTTTCTCAATCAAAACATCCACCTCCTATTCCACTGTTAGCTGTTGCTGTGCAGATGGAACTTTTCTGTACCCTATAAGGAGCCCAATACGTGAGGCATTTTTTCAGTGATTACAGTACTTCCTATGGCTGTCCATGAGCCAGCCCTTCTGTATGTGCTGGCTGCAGCCCTGAGATGTAGAAATTGTATGGTTTTAATTCATCATTGATGTCCTGTAGCACAGGGCAGCAACAGTTTTATTCCCAGTCCCTCACCTGCCATGGAGAGTTGGTTGTGTGTGTGATGGGAGTGAGGGATCAGCCTGTGGGCACAATAACGAGTCATGTTTTCTGAGCATGTTGCTGCAGGTGTGATGTGACTTTCTTATAAAGAGCAGTTCCTTTACAGCCAGCCTCACCTTGGCTAGAAGAGGCTTGAGCTGTTCTGTGGGTGGTTAATTTATTAAAGAAAATAGTTCAGAGAAGTTAACAGGATATAGCAAAGGCTGTTGAGGTTTGATTAAATCAAGTGGGACGGCAGGTCCATCGAAGGGTTAGGACATGCAGAAATACAACTGATTCCCTTTTCCTACAAGCATTTAATGTTCACATGGGTTAGTGTTCTTTCCAGGGTTGTTTGTCAGAACCCCAGGTGATTGTTGCAAATGAGGGACTGGTGGTTGAATTGCTGGTAAATTGAAGATGAGCACAGGAATCCTACTTCTCTCTTAGTCAGAACTTTTGTCCCTCTGAATCTTTCACCAGGAGCTGGAGGCTGCCTTCCAGCCGGATACAAGTTTGGTTACTGTAATGACTGTAAATAATGAAATAGGAGTAAAGCAGCCAATTCGTGACATTGGTAAGTACACTGTGGCTTTTAGATGCCAGCTAAGGTTACTTCTACTTCATTTTAGTTAATGTTTTCATCCTCAAATGCTACTGATACAAAATATTAGGTGTAATATAGCTAAGGAAAAAATAATGACATCATTATTTTAAAATAAAAAATGTAATATAAATAAATAATACTGCTGTCCCAAATAAAAACTGATTTCAAAAGGGAAATGAGAATG